AAACCCATTACAAACTTGGCATCAATTTATGCTAGTCAAGGGAATTTTCGTGAATCTCTTCCTATTCGTATAAAAAATATACAATGGTTCAAAAGGTGCTGTATTTTATAGTACTAGCACCATCTTTGGAATTGCATTTGATTATTATGCTCTTGGAAAGGAGAAACAGGCAAGGCTATGGTTTGATAAAGTTTTGAAAGAGTTTGCTGAATATTTAAGAGGCAAATTTGAAGATAACGAGATTTATTGGAGAAAAGAGGCTTTAGATTTGTTGGAAAGGTTTACTACTAATGATTTTTTATGTGCAAAATATTTTGACCTGGTATGATAAATTCTAAATCGATTTATAGATTTATTTACTTATCGTTATGTAAATAAAAGTTTTCGCTGATTATAGATTACCAATTTATTTCAATATAAAATGGGATCTTTGCGAGTTACGGGACATAGTAAATCATATGTCCCGTGACTTTATGTTCCTAGCAAAGATCCATAATACTTTATAAGAAAATTTTTAGATTCTATAACTTATTAATTCTAATTTTAGCTACAAATTCTTATATAACAGATAATGTAACTTGTTTACATTTAGTAACGAAAAGAGATAAAGCGTGTCCAATAAACGTGATTTAAGTTATCCTTTTTTTACTGGAGATTGGAGATCAAAGTTTCATAATACCAGGACCTGGGACCAAAACCCATGGATCTATTGTCATGTGTAAGTGGCAGGTTAACTTCAAAAGGAAGTCCATGAGTCATAAAAAAAATTATGGCGTAACTGTAATATTATTTACTTATTTTAGGAATAGTCATAAGGTGTTGCATTCACACGCGAAATTAATAATTAAATATCAGATGATCTATGCGGATAGTGCAGATAGGGGTAAGTATGCATTGTAAAAGGCTAATCTGCCCTCCGACCTCCGACCTATTTTTCTTTTTACTATTATTTTTTTCTATATATCTATGTTTTATTACCTTTTTCTTCGTGTGTATCGTTAGTTTATCCTTTTTAAACAAAGATCTACCAAAACTTGTATATAGAGTTTCCTAACGTAGCCTGTAGGTAGATCATTGCCCTTATTTAGTATAATTGATGTGTCGAAATGTTGGATTTATCTAATTTATTGAATTAAATCAATATAAGACAAATAGTAATTAAAATTACTATTTGACGAAAATTAGATTTAACCGATATTTCAACAAAATCGATTAAATACCGAATGTATTTACTAGTATCGCTAAAAGTATAAAAGCGATACTTTTTACCTTCAATAAAAAAATTAACTTTTACAGAGTGAAAAGAAGACTCGACAAAGTTCAGTAACTGATAACCAATACTTCGAAATTCGAGTAGAAGTTTGGTATTTGAAGTTCACCATTGTTTAAAATACAGTATCGTTATTGTTAGGACCCGATCCCGAAATAATCACAACTCAGATCAATTTCAGGATAACAATAAATCAATCGCCCCCTAAATAGTCTCATTGATAAACTCATTGATTTAAGGATTCCCATTGTTAAAACCATTGATAAAATCGTAGAGTATACCAAATCACGTGCCGCAGAAATCAACCTTAAAATATAAGAACCGGAATTAGAGATAACAACCAAGAATAACAAAATACCTACCTCCACGAACAAAGAGTAATCCACAAGATCCCTAAAACCCGGACCAAATCTTCCGCGCCGTCTTTCTGCCTACCAACTTAGGGTTGATTGTTGGATTAGTGTTGATAGTGTTGGTTGTGCTAAATTACCGAACACTGGTGTAACCGAAACCCCGATCGAGTTCCGTACCAGAACCGGTTTACACCTTTTCAACGTATACATGGGTGTCTAAATTAGGGATGATTTTCGACAGTCGGTCTGACGAAATTTTTTAGGTATTTTCGCCATGGTGCTTCAAAACGTTGCATGTCAAAATGTTTTTTGACTGCCGATATTATTATTGACTGCCGATATATTATTGACCGCTATATTATTTTAGACTGTCGATATTATTTTAGACTGTCGATATTATTTTAGATTGTATATTATTTAGACTGTCGATATTACTTTAGACTGTTGATGTTATTATAGGTGGTCGATTTAAAATTAAAATATTTAATTGTTTCATACATTATTTCATATTAAAATTCCAACATTACGTAGCAACTTGCTACGTATTATTAGAGTGATCATCAAACTAATCAAATCAAACCATAAGTAGCTGTACATATAAAATTTACTAATTAAATATTTTTTATGAAGATCCGAATTTACTGCGGGTAATAACAACTTTTGGTACAGTTTTCTTTTGAACTAACATAATAATTGCAAGTTTAATTTGTTGTAAAAGACATTTTAACTCGCTTAGAATACTGTAACAATGTCATTTTTTCAATTTATGCTATTTACAAGTTGCCAATTCTTCAACAAAGTAAAGAAGCTTTACCTAAAATGTAACAACAATAAATATATTAAAATTCAAAAAACTAAGGTTGTGTAATATTAGCTCGTGTATTTTGTTTGTGGAAATTAATATTATTTGTTTGTTTCCATTCGGAAAGTTTGGTACAATAGGGCTTCCATAATTGCTTATGTATTAATTCTGATATTTTTATAAATAATGATATAATAAGTCGATAAGCAGATTTGTGAGAGTTAGTATATAGATATAGTAACTGAGTAAGATCATTTGGTATAAGACCTGTGATAGTTTGGTGAATTGAAATATTATTAGAAAATAGTTAAGGTAATTATAAAGAATGATAGTTAATAAATGAATTTTGAAGATTAAGAAGTTGTGAAGGTGAGATGTCAAGATTGTTTGTTGTGAAGTTAGATTATATGTTTGATTTAATTATGTCGAAAATTAATTGTGAGTTAGGGCAAAATAACCAGTGTATACTATCATCAGATTGATCACAATGAATACATTGTTTTTATTTAATAATATTAGGGTAGTATTTATATAGTTGAGATATAGATGGAAGGTTACTGAGAAGATTTTTAACTCAGAAAGTTTTGGTCTTGCTCAGTTTGTAGTTGGTGTAGTTAGATGATTATAAGAGATTATTATTAATTACTGCCCAAATTATATTCCAGTCAACTTAGTTCGAGAATTGTTTCCATAGTTGTGCTCTAAATTGAGAAGACTATAGTGCTATTATAAAAGTATTGCAAATATTTTTAATAAATTTACGTGTTGGTTGTTCAACAGAAAAATTCTCCCATTAGAGAATATAAGAGTTATTAAAATAATTTGTATGGTTGAATTCAAGAAATCCTAAAAATGAGTGATGTGATGCTAGAAAGTCTGCTGTATTGTTGAATTCATTGTTACTATGTGCTTGAACTTTATGAAAGACAATATCAATTTTCTGTGATTTAATAAAGTTGAGTAAAGTTTCCCAAATTAGCCAGTAATTATATTTTGTTTTGGTGTTATAGTTGATTGTTTGTTGTTGGATTTTGTTGAATTTAGAGATTACTGATTGTGAGTCAGTAAAGATTTGTACTTTGCAATTTTTTGGAGAGGTACTTATAGCAGAAAGTATTGCAATAAGCTCTGCTTTGTAGGATGATAGCCATATTTTAATTTGTGCAGCAAAAGTTTTGATTACTTGATTGTTATAAATTTGGACCTAGCCAATTCCCATAGAGTATTAATCTGTACATATATTTTGTACTGAACTATCAGTATAAAATATGAGCTCTTGTTGATTCATGTTTTGTTTAGCTATATGTTGTAGCGTTTCTGAAATTTCATTAGATCTAAATATTTCAAATACATAATTATTTTCTAAGTTAATGTTTAGGAGCAGTAGAATAGTTAGTGGATGTCTAATTGCTAGATTGTAAATTAAGTCTGTTAAATTAGCATTAAGTTTTAATTTGTTTAAAAGATTATTTGTGAGAGGCCTGGTCTAAACTTTAGTACTATATGTAGCTGATACATCAATAGTACATAAGTTTGTAATATGGTTAGAGTTTAGACTGCAACCTAAGCATAGTAGGCAGTTGATAGGAAGGTTTGGATAGTAGGCTATATGATTTGAGTTATAGTCTGTAATCCAATGAGTTATTGATATAGTATTATTATTTGGAAAGAATTTACGAGCCTTTCCTAGAATAATTTGATTGTTTGTAGTTGAAAGTATCCATGGTTTTTTAATTTTGAAATGACCTGTACTTAGAGGGAATAGGTTAGGAGTGTTTAGGGATATTGAATTCATAATCTCTCTAGTATGTGAACTTGTTGTAATTGTTTCTTCTAAAAAGGAGAACCACAAAGGCTGTTTTCCTTTAGGAAGATATTGTAATCGAGGTGAAATATGTTGCTATTTTAGGAAAATATTGTTTTCAGAGATTGTAAGTTGATCTAAATACATGAGGTTTTTTCTGCAGAGCTGTTGTTTAAATATTATATAAAGAGGGTGTTTGTTAAGTATTAGTTCTAGTGGGTATGCATTATGATAATATGTTTTAGGCTACTGATAGTTATTATTAGCTGTAATAACTATATTAAGCATATTGAAGAGTTTGATAATTTTATAAGTTGTTGTATGTTTGTTTGGTCCTTCAATTATAAAGTTTGGATGTTAGAGAATATTTGTAGTAGACCATAAAATGTTTTGTAATTGTTTTTTTTTTTTTTTTTTAATTTTGACCTTGTGGTCAAGGTGAGGTCTTGTTTTTATCTTTATTAATAATTA